TCCTCCACCCCCACGACCACCCCCACCACCGCCACCACCCCTGCCACCCTTGCCGCCCCTGCCACTGCCGCGCTTCTCACCAGGAGCGGAAGCCGCTGCAACCTTCTCAGCACCGAGGAGGTCGACTGCAGCAGCTGAGGCGTAGGAGGGGGCAAGAGGGGAGGAGGAGCACCCCTCAAAGAGAGGAGTGCGTGGAGTGCCATGGGCAGCACCTACAGCGAGGATGTTCTTCTCTGCTCCTAGGAGCTGCTGCTCGAAGTCGGCTAGAGTGAAAGTGGTAGGGTCCTTGGCGAGGAAATGGTCCCTGACCGAGCTAAGAGTGTCAGGGAGGCGAGTGACGAAGATGTAGAGGGTAAAGTACAGCGGTGGGGTGTTCGTGGCGAGGAACTCGTCGGTAAGAGCGGCACGAAAGCGGGAGTCACTAACGCGGAGGTGAGAGATGAGGTCCCCGGCGGTGGTAAACGAAGACAGGTCGGGGAACAGGTAGGGCAGAATGAGGCGTCCTACGGCTGCAGTGGCTGGGGAGGAATAGCGCGCAACTACAGCGTCGTACAGCGCCTTAGCAGTCTTGTGCTGACTAAAATGCGCGCGCTCAGTGATCGGCAGGTGGTTGCGGATAGCGAGGCGCACAGCAGCATCGCGAGTCTGCCACTGTGAGCGGTGGAGAGCAGTAGCACTGTCAGCAGGAGCAGGGGCAGTGCCAGACGCGTGATCGAATAGAGAAACGCCGTCTTTGGCATCAGTCATGAGAAACAACTGCAGATCGTCAAGCCAAGTGGCAAATTCTATGGGGCGACCGTCAGGCTCAAATGCGAGAACGTTAAGTGTCGCCATGATGGCAGCGTTGGTTCAAGACAGTCAGGCGCAAGGCAGGCAGGCGCACTACAGGCAGGCAGGCGCAAGGCAGGCAGGCGCATTATAGGCAGAGCGCAAGGCAGGCAGGCGTAAGGCAGGCAGGCGCACCTCAGGCAAGGTGCAAGGCAGGCAAGGCGCAAGGCAGACAAGGCGGAAGGCAGGCAAGGCGCACGGCAAGCAGGTGCAAGACAGGCGGCGCGCGGCTAGAGCGGACGCGTGACACACGGGCGACGACGTGCGCAGGGCGAGGCGGCAGGTCACTCGCGGGCTGGCAGGGCGCAATGCGGGCGGCGCGCGGGCGGTGCGCGGGCTGCGCGCGGGCGGTGCGCTGTCTGCGCGCTGGCTGCGCGGGCGGGCTGCTCTGGCTCGGTGCGGGCTGCGCGAGCGTGCGCGGGGCAGCTGCGGGCCGTGCGCGGGGCCGCGCGGGCTCAGGGCAGGCTGCGCGGGCGACGTGCGGGGCGCGACAGCAAGGACACACAACTGACTCGTTACAGAGCAGTTGCCCGAGTCGTCACTGTATCGAACCGCAACAGCAACAGTAAAGTAGTTATAACTGTGTCTTTTCATATTCCCTGTATTCATATATAGTCTTGTATCTCTTTGCTTTAATCAATCAACTTTGCCCTCACATACTAGCGCAAGGTGGTTCACAACTCTTTATTAAAACGCTTCCGCTACTATATAAATTTTACCAAGAATTCACATTTGCAAAGATCCTAAGGGCTTTTTCTCAGCCCAACGTGGTATGAGAGCTATCAAGGGGAATTCAACTATCAAGACACTTACAACATCAGAAGACATGGCTACTCAGAAGGAAAGGAGTTCCTATTTCGGAAAGAGCAACAGGTTGCTATGCTAAACCTTGGTAAGATTGCTTGAAGTGCATGCTGAGTGGAGATTGTGAGCACTTTGTCAAATGTTGTAGCCTGTAGTGAGGTTTGTCTTAGGGGGTACAGAAGTTAGGGTTTGTTATATCAATGGCATCATCATTCCTCATTTTGACATGGTATCAGCTAGGTTAGGATCCTGTGGGATCCCGTTCCTCCGTTCTCCGTTCGTCCCTCCCGAGCCTGATCCTACCTCTCGTTCGTACCGGTTCCGTTGTTACCGCGCCTAGTACCGAGCCTAGCGCCCTCTCCCCCGTCGCTTAGCGCCCTTTCTCCCCGTCGCCTAGCGCCCTTTCCCCCCCCCCCCCCCCCCCCCCCCCCCCCCCCCCCCCCCCTCGTCGCGTCGCGCCCTTTCCCCCCGTTGCCTAGCGCTCTTTCCCCCCGTCGCGTCGCGCCCGTTCCCCCCGTCACGTCGTGCCCGCCCTTTCCCCCCCGTCCCGTCGCCCTGTCCCGTCGCGTCGCCCTGCCCCGTCCCGTCGCCCTGCCCCGTCGCGTCGCCCTGCCCCGTCCCGTCACCCTGCCCCGTCGCGTCGCCCTGCCCCGTCGCGTCGCCCTGCCCCGTCCCGTCACCCTGCCCCATCGCGCCGCCCTGCCCCGTCGCGTCGCCCTGTCCCGTCCCTACGCCCTGGCCCGTCGCCCTACCCTACGCCCTGGCCCGTCGCCCTACCCTACGCCCTGGCCCGTCGCCCTACCCTACGCCCTGGCCCGTCGCCCTACCCTACGCCCTGGCCCGTCGCCCTACCCTACGCCCTGGCCCGTCGCCCTACCCTACGCCCTGGCCCGTCGCCCTACCCTACGCCCTGGCCCGTCGCCCTACCCTACGCCCTGGCTCGTCGCCCTACCCTACGCCCTGGCCCGTCGCCCTACCCTACGCCCTGGCCCGTCGCCCTACCCTACGCCCTGGCCCGTCGCCCTACCCTACGCCCTAGCCCGTCGCCCTACCCTACGCCCTGGCCCGTCGCCCTAGCCCGCTCTTCCGCTGCGACTGAGTCCCCTTCCCACCTGAACCCTAATTTGCCTCTTCTCCCCGGTTGTTACTCGCCTGTTCGTTCGCGTTAGTTCTCACTATGGCGACTCCGCGAGTTCTTCGTTTCGACGCTGACGGTAGACCACTTGACTTTTCCGTCTGGCTTCTTCGCGCTCGCCGTCTGTTAGAGAGTCAGGTCCAGGGGGGCGAGACCCTCTGGTCGCACGCTACTGGTGACCTCCCCGAGCCCCCCGAGCCTACAGCTTTAGGCTCTGCCCCTGACGACGCTGCTACGGCTCGCTTTGCCCGTCAGCACGCTGACCGGACGGCTTGGACGTCGCGTGACGCTGCGGCCTGCATCGCACTCAGCAGCCTCCTCCCTGAGTCAGAGGAGGTCCACTTTACTCAGGTTCGCACCGCTGCTGCGTACCTCACTGCGATTAAGGCCCGCTACTCTACTCCCGCTACTGTCTCTCTTGGCCGTCTTTTCCTCCGGTTCCTGTTTCCTGATCTCGCCTCGTTTGAGCGCTCTGCTGACTTGATCGCTCACCTCCGCTCGCTCGACGCTAGTTACCGCGCTGCTTGCACTGAGGCACAGCTTGCACTGCTTCCTCCCCCCATGGCGATTACTGTCTATTTCATCGCCACTAGCCTCCCTGACCGCCTAGCCTCCGTTCGTGACGCGCTTCTGCTGAAGCACCCTAGTGAGCTGACTATCGAGGTCCTTGAGTCTGCACTCAAGGACGTCGAGAGCAACCTTCGCTCGGTAGCTGCCGCCTCTGGTACTGTGTCCCCCCCACTCTTCCACGGGTGCACAGTCCCGCAGTTACCCACCTTCACTGCCTCTCTCGCCACTGCCGCTACTGACGCGACTGCGGCTGCTGTTACGACTGCGTCGCGGTCCCGCGGCAAGGAGGGCAAGAAAGGTAGTTCTGGTGGAGGTGGAGGTGGAGGTAGCGGAGGTAGTGGGGGTGCTGTTGCGACTGGCGGTGGTGGGAGTGCAGCGTCTGGAGAGACCCCTCGTGCAGCGGCTGGTGACTCCACTGCGCCTGCTGGTGGCGGCGACCCCCGAGCTCGTCAGTCGCCTCCTGTACTGCCGACCCCGCTAGGTGGAGCAGCGGCGTGGTACTAGGCTCAGCGTCAGCAGCACCTTCAGCAGCAGCAGCAGCCCCTTTCCTCCCGCCAGCCTCAGCAGCAGCAGCGTCAACAGCTGGCTCCGGGGTCGGGGCTGCGTCAGCCCCAGCGCGGTGCTTCTTACCCTCCCTGCACCTATCAGGTTCTGACAGGTCCTCGTCGGGGCCACCCTTGTGGCCGCTTTCACCCCCCTGGTCAGTGCTTTGCTCAGCTCACTGACACGGTCCGGTTGGCCTACGGGGTTGGCGGTCCTGCTCTTGACTGGCTTCCTCTGGTTCAGCGCTACGGCTCCGCTCTGTGGGGCATGTCTGCTGAGCAGTTAGTTGATCTGATTGGTGCTCCTCATGCTATGTATGCTGTTGTTGACTCTAGTGTTTCTGACTCTGTTTACTCTGGTGTTGTTAGCTTAGGTGCTAGTCTTGCTCAGTTGCCTATTGCTAGTGTAGGTTCTTGTGTAGACTCTAGACCAGCGACTACCTCAGAGGACGCTTCGCTGTCGTTCACGCTGGACTCTGGAGCCTCACACTGCTTCTTCCGGGACAGCACGACACTTACACCACTTCCTGCGCCTGTTTCTGTGGCTTTGGCTGATCCCACTACGGGACCAGTCACTGCACGTCACACTACCACTTTACCGTGTCCTGCTGCTCCCTCCGGGTCTCTCACTGGGTTTCACGTCCCCTCGTTCTCCCGGAACTTGGTGGGCGTGCGACCCCTCGTGAGTCAGCACGTGGGTGTGTGGTTTGAGCCTTCTGGAGAGACTGCGGTGTGTGTTGACGGAGACTCTTACCAGCATCTTGCTACCTTTACTGCTGAGCCGGGCTCAGGTCTCTACACTCTTCGCACTGGCCCGCGTGCGCCGCAGCAGCAGCCGCAGCAGCAGCAGCAGCAGCCGCAGCCGGAGCAGCAGCAGCAGGAGCAGCAGCTGCACCAGCGGTCGCACCAGCAGCCGCCCCTACTGCCACTGCCCCCGGTTCCCCCCCCCCGTTCGGGTCCCCGCGTCTCACCAGGTTGCTTCGTCCCCCCAGGTGTCTGTGTCGTGTCAGGTTCCTACGTCTGCTCCAGTCGCTGCGTCATGCTCCTGCCGGTCGCTTGCCCACCCCACCGTTCTGTGGCACCACCGGATGGGGCACCCGTCCCTTCCTCGTCTGCGCGCTATGTCTAGTCAGCGTCTTGTCCTAGGCCTCCCACGTGTCTTGCCGTCGCTGCCGCCTTCGCTTGCGCCGCCGTGTGGTCCCTGCGTCGAGGGTCGGCTGCGCGCCGCCCCTCACTCCTCCTCCCTTCGTCCGGCCACCGAGCCTTTTGAGACGCTTCACTTGGACGTCTGGGGCCCCGCCCCTCGTCTAGGCCCTGAGCATGAGCGCTACTTTCTGGTGGTCGTTGACGACTTCTCCCGCTACACCACAGTGTTCCCTCTGGCGAAGAAGTCTGAGGTGACTTCTACGCTGATCAGGTGGTTGCTCACCACCGAGGACACTCGTGGTCGTCGTGTCAGCTGCCTCCACTCCGACCGTGGGGGTGAGTTTCGCTCCGGCATTCTCGCTGGATTCTGTCGCGAGCAGGGCATTCGTCAGTCCTGGACGCTTCCAGAGTCCCCACAGCAGAATGGGGTTGCTGAGCGCCGCATAGGCCTGGTCATGGAGATCGCCCGCACCTCCCTGACTCACGCCTGTGCCCCCCATTTTCTGTGGCCCTACGCGGTCAGGTACGCCGCGCACCAGCTGAACCTCTGGCCACGTGTCTCTCGACCAGAGGTTTCACCGACCAGTCTTTGGACAGGGTCCCCTGGTGTTGCGTCGCGGTTTCGTGTCTGGGGGTGCTTGGCTCTTGTCCGCGACACCTCCGCGGACAAGCTCTCACCTCGTGCCGTCCCCTGTGTCTTCCTTGGTTTCCCTGAGGACTCCTCTGACTTCACCTTTTACCACCCTCCCTCTCACCGGTTCTTTGACTCCCGTGACGTCCGTTTCGAGGAGTCCACTCCGTACTACGTCAGGTACCCCAGTCGAGGTCTCCAGGTTCCTCCTCCCCCCCTCTTCCTGACTGCCGCTCCCCCTCCTGTTCCCCCGGTACAGCCTCCCCCCCCTGGTCCAGCCCCGTCGGGTGTGTCCCAGGCTACCCCTCCTCCTTTGGTAGCCTCTCCGGTACAGCCTCCCTCCCCACAGTCCTCCTCGCAGCGTGCCGCAGGTGCTAGCTCTCGAGAGGTTGGTGCTGCGCCTGTTCCTGTACCGGTTTCTGGTTCTGGGGGTGGTGGAGTTGGAGCTGGAGTTGGAGCTGGAGTTGGAGCTGGAGTTGGCACTGGAGTTTCTGGTTCTGGGGGTGCTGGGGTTGGAGTTGGAGTTGGAGCTGGAGTTTCTGGTTCTGGAGTTGGAGCTGACCCGGTGGGTGCAGAGGACTCTTGTCGTCCGGGAGCTGGTGCTGGTCGCGCGGACACTGGGGGTGAGAGTGCGCCTCCTTCGGGTTCTGGTGAGCCTGGGTCTGGAGCTGGTGTTAGTGCTGCCTCTGGGGGTGGTGCGCCTGGTTCTTCGGGGGTGGACTCTGGAGCTACCGCTGCTTCGGACACTACTCCGCCCCCCCACCCCTACCCGACTAGGCACCAGGCTCGTGTTCGCCGTGCCCGTGACAAGCAGCTGGCGTTGGAGAGAGAGGAGAGGGAGTTACAGCGGCTGGAGGAGCAGCAGCAGTAGCTGGAGCCGCAGGAGCAGCAGCAGCAGCAGCTGGACCCGCAGGAGCAGCAGTCCCAGCAGCAGCCGCTTCCGCAGCAGCAGCAGTCGCAGCAGCAGCAGCAGCAGCCACTTCCTCCTCCTGTCTCGGGTCTTCGGACCCTTGGTCTCCCCTCCCCTTCTCCTCCCTCCTCCGCCTCTCCTCCTGTCTACGGTCCCACGTTTCCTCCTCCTGACTCCTCCCCCGCTGTTTTCCCCAGTTCTCCGCCTTTGTCCTCTCCTCCTCCGTCTCGTTCTTGGGCTACTCGTCGCTCCCCTCGTGCTCGTCCCTCGTCTCCTGTTCCCTTCACTGACCTTCGTACTGCCTTCCTTCTTTCTAGTCCACCTCGTCCGTCTCAGTCTGTGCTTCCGTCTCCTCCTGAGTCGGCCCTCACTGTGTCGCTCCCTACTCCTGTCACTGACTACTACCGCACGTACCGTCCTGTTCTCTCTCGTGTTCTCGCCTCTCTTGTTACTCACCCTCGTACCTCTGTGTCCTCTGTGTCCGCTCTTACTGCCGCAGTTACTGACTTTGCCTCTACCCGCCGCCTTGACTACGCCACCACGCTTGTGGCTGCTCCTCCTACCAGTCCTCTGGCCGTCGGGGGTGTGTCTGCCCTTGGCTGTGACGCCCTAGAGGACAGGCAGTTTGAGCTAGAGTTCCTGGCGGCCGCTTCCCCTCATCTCTGTGCCATGCTCCTCGCCCCTGAGGGTGACCCCGACGCCCTTGACATTCCGACTCCTCGCACTTACGCTGAGGCAGTGTCAGGGCCTTGGGCCTCTCAGTGGAGAGCTGCCATGGACGCAGAGATGGCCTCCTACAGATCCACAGGCACCTACGTCGATGAGGTTCCCCCCCCTGGGGCGAACGTAGTCGACGGCATGTGGATCTACAGGGTGAAGCGGCCACCGGGATCTCCCCCGGTCTTCAAGGCGCGCTACGTGGCTAGAGGTTTCAGTCAGCGCGAGGGAGTTGACTTCTTTCAGATCTTCGCACCTACCCCGAAGATGACCACTCTTCGGGTGTTACTACACGTAGCAGCACAGAGAGACTACGAGTTACACTCTCTCGACTTCTCCACTGCTTTCCTTCAGGGCAGCCTACACGAGGAGGTCTGGTTGCGTCGTCCCTCGGCCTTCACTGGCACCTTCCCTCCTGGGACCCAGTGGAGGCTGAGGCGACCTGTTTACGGTCTTCGCCAGGCCCCTCGTGAGTGGCACGAAACTCTGCGTTCTACCCTCTCTGACCTTGGGTTCCAGCCGTCTTCTGCCGACCCGTCGCTGTTCGTTCGTCGTGGCTCCACACCGTTCTTTGTTCTGGTTTACGTCGACGACCTCGTTTTCGCCACTCCGGACAGGGTTGCTTTGGCAGACGTGAAGTCCGAACTGCAGAAGAGACACACGTGCACTGATCTTGGTGAGCTGCGCCACTACCTTGGCCTGCAGATCACCAGGGACAGAGCCGCTCGCACCATTACACTCTCACAGTCACACATGGTGCAGCAGGTCCTTCAGCGGTTCGGGCTTCAGCACTCCACCGTACAGCGCACACCTCTCGCTGTTGACCACAGACTCACTGGTCCCTTTCCTGACGAGCCGTTTGAGCCTAGTGGTCCCTACGCAGAGCTTGTGGGTTGCCTCATGTACCTGATGACTTGTACTCGCCCGGACCTCGCCTTCCCTCTCAGCATCCTTGCGCGCTTTGTTGCGCCAGGGAGACACCGTCCTGTTCACTGGACGGCAGCTGTAAGGGTGGCGAAGTACCTAGCGACTACATCAGGCGTGGGGCTAGTTCTTGGAGGGCAGCAGTCTGTCATACTCACTGGTCACTGTGACTCCTCTTACGCTGACGACGCTGAGACTCACAGGTCTACTCAGGGGTACTGTTTCAGTCTGGGTTCTGGAGCTGTTTCCTGGCGTTCCACGCGCTCCTCTTCTGTCTCGACCTCTACAGCTGAGGCTGAGATTTACGCTGGTGCCATGGCGGCACAGGAGTTGCGTTGGTTGACCTTCTTGCTCGCCGACCTTGGTGAGCGGCCGAGCTCTGCACCGACCTTGCTCACTGACAACAAGGCGTCGATCCTCCTCTGTCGTGAGCCGCGACTGGAGAGCAGAGTGAAGCACATTCACGTCAGGTACTTTCTTCTGCGGGAGTTGCAGAGACGTGGACAGGCTCGCTTCGAGTTTGTGGAGTCCGAGGCCAACACTGCAGACATCTTCACCAAGGCGCTTCCGCCTCGTGACCACCAGAGGTGTTGTGTGCAGTTAGGCCTTGTTGACACAGGTTCTAGTCATGTGTAGGCTTGAGTTTATTGCCTGCTTCGTCTGTACTCTTGCTATATATACTTGTGATCTCTTGGACTGGCCTTGTGGCCACTGTTGCTTGTGCTCAGAGAGTGTGGTGACGTTGTGATCCACCCTGAGCTTTGTTTTCTTTTGGACTGGTCTTGTGACCGTACTCTTTTTTTTTATTTTGCTAGACACCCCTCACTTAGGCTATGGGGGTGTGTCAAATGTTGTAGCCTGTAGTGAGGTTTGTCTTAGGGGGTACAGAAGTTAGGGTTTGTTATATGTACCCCAACCAACATCAATGGCATCATCATTCCTCATTTTGATACACTTGCTGTAGTTCACTTCATCCACACATGATGTTTCCATATCAACATACGGTAGGTAGAATACTGGCTTATTAATGAGTGCATAACCTAGTGCAAGGGGGGTTAACCATAACGAGGTGTTACGAACCCCTGCTACAGCCTTATGCAGACACAGGCAGGCAGCCACTCTCATACCGTATGTCACTACTGCTACAGCGAAACCTTCCTCATACTTCACTTGCTTCTAGCATCCAGCTCACCCTCTCCATTACCGTTAATGAAGCTCCCTGACGGAAGAACATCCTCTACACTTTAGTGGGTCAGCTTTTAACGCGGACAGCTCAGGGCAGATGGCAGGAGACACATTCCGTGCATGCCCTTCCACATCCTGGCACTTAAAGCCCTTCCCGCCATCCACCAGCTGCAGGTTTATATCCGATAACGAAACACCTCTAAAAGGGGCTGCAGGCAGGCCAATAAGGCTGCCGGCTTGAGAGATGCCCGAGCCGGAGATGGAAGCAAAGGAGATGTTGGCCACGCGGGGCAGAGCCGACGGGTCAAAGTGGTCATCTGGGTGGCTGCTGCATGTGGGGAGGAAGGCCAGCGCCACAGTCACGTTCACCATAGTCACGTCCTGCACTAGCACGTCTCGGATGTACCCCCCTCGGCCTGGCGCGGTTCGCAGGTGGAAGGCGGTGAGCGAGTGAGAGACTGACAGGTGGCGGCAGCGCAGCGAGTGCACGCCGCCCGACATCTCGCTGCCGATGGAGAGGGCGGCGGCGAGCGGCGTCTGGATGTGCGAGTGCTGGATGGTGATGGAGTGGGAGGGGCGGGCGAACGCCAGCCCGTACTCGTCCCATCCGCTCTTTATGCTGATGCCGCCCCCCCCCTGTGGTTACCGTCACGCCCTCTATAAGCACATCCTCACTGGAGTCTGTGCGGGCAAGGAGGCATGGGGAGGAGTGTCAGTCAAAGGGGAAATGCTTACGGTAGAAACAACAATCCACACTCATGATGAATTGATGCGAAGGAGAGGTGGTGGGAGCAGAGGATTGGAGAATTACCGATGACAATCCCGATGGTGTTGGGCGAGTCAGGAGGCGCGGTGATAGTCACGTTGGACACCTGCACGTGGCTGCACGCACCAACACAGGCACACGGATGCAAGTGAGGGGTGTGACGGGTGAGCGCGGCAAGAACGGAGACTGGCAGAGCCATGTGAAGGAGAGACCGTCACAAGGGTATAAAAGCACAAGATCACATGGGCAAAACAAAGCAGGGAGGAGGGAGAGGGGCACGGACGTGCAGTAGACGGGGTGCAGAGCCCAGGCGGGGGCATTAGCGAGAGTGACGTTGGCGACGGTGACAGCAGAGCTCCACAGCGCCTCCACCACCGCCCCCCGCGAGTGCTGCAGCACCCCCCCGCGCTTCCTCTCCCACCACTCCGCGCCTCCCCCGTCGATCACCCCGTGGTCGCCTGCTCGGACAGGCCAAGGGGAAGAGGGAGGGCGGGGATGGGGGGAGGTAGGGCGCAATGGGGGAAGGTGGGGAGGTCAGCGCTTTTGCATGTGTGGACTCTTCTCGCTACAGCCGTATGCATGCACGCACACACACCGGTGATGACAGCGTCTGTGAGGTTGTGGCAGTGCAGCAGACTGCTGTAGCGCGCGCGCAGTGAACAGGCTGAGCTACAGCCGTGTGGTGGAAGCACACACACGCACCGGTGATGACGACGTCTGTGAGGTTGTGGCAGTGCAGCAGACTGCTGTAGCGCGGCCCGGGCATCTCCCTGCCGCGCCCATACGATGGCAGCGCTGGTATCACCGGCCATAGTGCTGGGTCCTGTATACATAAGGGTATGCAGGCATGCAGCCACGCACACATGCGCACATGCAGGCGCAGGCATGCAGACACGGAGGGAAGGGTGATGGGAGGGTTACAAAGAGGCATGGAGCAGGGACGGGCACCACATTGCTACCTGCCACACCGCCCAACAACCGCCCCTTGCGTCTTCTCCGCGCACTGCAAGCCTCCCCACATGCAGCGCAAGCTACTCTCACCCTTCCCGGCCCCCGGTTCCCGCTGCGCGCGCGCGTACCGGGTTGCCGCGGATGGTGGCGCCGCGCGCGAGGAAGAGCGTCATGGCGGAGGTGAGGTTGACGCTGCCCGTCACGTACACGCCGGGCGGCACGTACAGCTGCCCGCCGCCCTTGTCCGCCACGCCGCTGACGGCGTACACGGCGTTCTGCAGCGCGCGCGTGTTGTCCGTCGCGCCGTCGCCCACGCCGCCAAAGTCCGCCAGGTCGAACACGTGCGGCCGGTTCGGCCACTGCGGCCTGCCGCCACTGCTTATGCCGCCCCTGCCGCCGTTGCTAATGCCACTCTTACCGCTACCGCGGGGATCGCTCCTGCTGTCACTGTGAAACACGCTGCTGGTATCGTCCAATGCACTCGCGTCAGACCCGCGTTCTGCGGCGTTCGAAGCTTTCGTCGCAACGCTGCGCAGCGGCAACGAGAGCGCGGCGACATCGCGATCCGGGTCGAGCAGTTGCTTCCTCTGCCAGCCGCCGCTGCGCGCATTACGCGCCTCTAAGTCGCCCGCATCGGCTGTCAGTGTCTTTAAATCGGCGCCTGCCGCCGCGTGAACGCTGAGAGGATTAAGGGTTAATGCGATCAGAAATGCTACACGCGCCACGGAGGTTAGAGTCAGTCGATTTCGGGAGACAGGTGGACGCGACGCCATCAGCACACAAGGCGGGATAATAACGAAGATCGGACTCGAGCCGCACGGAATACTAATCGTCCACGTGTCTCAACGCCACGTCATTCAGGCTACGTGAGCAAACAGCGAAGAGCATGTCGACAGCCCGCAGGGTGCAGTGCGGCACGGAAAACAGAAATCAATGGCAGGTCGATAAACGCACTCTCTTCTACGATATATGTACTGCGTCGATTGAAGCGAGGTGCCGACGGACTAAAGCGCTCATTTCCGCAAACAGCTCAAGATAGTAACCCCATGATCTGGGAGGCAGGGCATACAAGCGGCGAGGCAAGGGGGAAGGGCAACGGAGGAGGTGACAGGCAGGCAAGGGCCTTGTGGTGGTGGTGAACAACCAGACGCATGTGGTCGGAGGGAGCAGCCCAGCCGACTAGGCGAACGGGGCGAAACGGAAAACGCCTGTAACGAAGCTAGGTGCCAAGGTGGCTAGTTCCGCTAAGTACGGGCATTATTTTTTTTCACTATAAGGACACCATACTACAGCAATAGGCATCCAAACAGATTAACTCCTACCACTCAATGGACAAAATTTAAGACTATTACTAGAACATCAAGGGTCATTGAACCAGTATTGCATTTCTAAATTCATGTCATGCCAAAGGTTTTTTGTTAATGAGTCGTTTGACAAACATTTTCACGACAAACGAGGAATGTTGCCCAGCTTTCACACATGAGTACATCGCACACAGAACATTGCTTGACCTATGTTAGGGAGTTTCAATGGCACTCGCATCGCCCAAAATGCTCAACACACCCAAACCTCCGAGCAATGCTCTCAACTTACCCACCCAGTGGTTTCAAACCTCTCCCATGCCTCATCTGCCAAAAGCACCAGCACCCCCGTATTACAACCCAGTACGCTACCTCCCCCAACAACCCACCACCCATCCACCAATCTGGCCACAACCACCCACCAATTTGTCAACCCACAAATCATCACCCATCCCCAACAAAACAACACCCACCCACACCAAAACCCCACCGCCAAAACGCGGAAGGGTCCGCACATGTGCAGGAAGTGCAGCGGGCGTTCTTCATTCGCAAGTGCCGATAACCGATGATGCTCGCAACCCTCCCACGCCCTTGCTGGCTTGGTAATAGGCCCAGACAAGCGCAGCCACGTGACCCGGCGGAAGAGAAACGCTCGGAACGAGCGCTTTTACCCCCAAAAAGTGGAAGGATCCGCATATGTGCAGGAAGTGCAGCGGATGCTCTTCATTCGCGAGCGCTGATGACCGATGATGCTCGTCGCAACCCTCCCACGTCATTGCTGGCTTGGTAATAGGCCCAGAGAAGCGCAGCCACGTGACCAGGTGGAAGAAAAATGCTCGACGAGAGCTTCCACCCCCAAAACGCGGAAGGATCCACACATGTGCAGGAAGTGCAGCGGGCGCTCTTCATTCGCGAGCGCCGATGAGCGATGACGCTTGCAACCCTCCCATGCTCTTGCTGGCTTGGTAATAGGCCCAGACAAGCGCAACCACGTGACCCGGCGTAAGAAAAACGCTCGGAACGAGCGCTTCCACCACCAAAACGCGGAAGGATCCGCACATGTGCAGGAACTGCATCGCCGCTCTTCATTCGCGAGCGCCGATGAGCGATGGCGCTCACAACCCTCCCACGCTCTTGCTGGCTTGGTAATAGGCCCGAACAAGCGCAGCCACATGACTCAGCGGAAGAAAAATGCTCGAAACGAGCGCTTCCACCCCCAAAACGCGAAAGGATCCGCACATGAGCTGGAAGTGCGGCGGGCACTCTTCATTCGCGTGCGCCGATGAGCGACGGTGCTCGCAACCATCCCACGCCCTTGCTGGCTTGGTAATAGGCCCAGATAAGCGCAGCCGCGTGACTTGGCGGAAGGAGCGCTTCCACCCCCAAAACGCGTGAGGATCCGCACGTGTGCAGAAAGTGCAGCGGACGCTCTT